TGCTTTTAATCTCTGTGTCCTTATGTTTTTCATACATCTCTTATTATCAGATTGCAGATAGATTTTTTTAAAAAAAATATAGTACCTAGAAAATGTAGTCCATTTACACTTATTGTAATTAGAAATATATTAGAGTGAGTATACCACCTAATTTTAAGTAATTTCTGAAATTTTTCTATTCTTTTTCTTTTCTTTTCTGGATACTTCTGGCAAAGTACTTTAATTTTTTTTCACTCACCCTCCCCCCAAGACCTGCCATTTGCCGGTTGAAATTAATGCATTTTATTTTATTTCTTTTACCCTTAACAGTTAACATGCATCTTTACCTTAATGTAATTTAAAGTTAACTAATTCCTATAAGTAATAATTAAGGCTGTGGAAGTGATGTTATTCATAGAGACAGACAGCAAGGACTTGGAACCAAAGCTAAATCCTGTTTTGTACATGCTGGGTTTGAAGATACACCCACTTATTGCCTTAATAATTACCCACACATCTACCCTTACTGGCTTTATCTACTGTTAAATGTCCTCCTTTCTGAGTAGCCTAAACTGCATAAGTAGTGACAAGAGTTAAAGACAGTCAAACAACAGCCATCAGTGTTTGTCTTCCCTTGAAGACAAACACTGATGAACCGTAAATATTTCCTTCCAGTTCAGTCAGCAGAGCCAGCTGAGCATAAATATCTCTCAGAAATAGCAAGTTTAGCAAACATCACTTCAGTAGCTGTTGACAGGCTGAAAACTAAGTATGAAACCACGATCTGAGTTCTCTCATATATTACCACAGTTTACCTTTACCTCCTTCATCTCCTGTGCTATAGTTGAAGCTTAAATAATAAAGGGAGGGGCTCAGCTAATTTCTAATTTTAATTATGAAAGAGAATAAAAAGCTGTATTTTCAGGGCTGAAGGTATAGCTCAGGAGTCAAGTACTTCTCTAGCACACACGAGGCCCTGGGTTCCATCCCTGGCACCATAAACAGAAAAAAGGGAGGTGATCTCTATTTTCAAACCAACTGAAAAAATTACCTTAAATTAAGCATTTAATTACAGCTGACATCGACCACTCTGGGCTTCAACTAGTTCAACATAATCAGCTATTTCTATGTGCTGTATATGAGGTGACATTTTCACGCCTTCAAGATGTTCTTGTGAATAGCATGCTCATTTCTCCCTTCATACAACTCTGTGCAGCAGGCAGGGTGCGGTTACCGCAGTAAAGACATCAGGGGACGCGTGTGACCTATATACAAGAGCCAGTTGGTGCACAGCCAAGGCCATGCTGTGGTTTCTTGCTGCGCCATGCTGAGAAGCGACTGCTGTACCCCTGGGCAAGGCAGTGCACTTTCCTCCTGTGCACGTTTCCGAGCTCAGGGCCTCTGAAAGAGGCCCTGGCTAGCCAAGCATGTCAGCCATACACGGATGTTCCCATAGGCTCGTGTTCCCCTCACTTTGGTTCCACTGCCCAATCTAGAAAATCCTCTGCTTTCTTTAAATCCCCAAGGACTGGTTGTGCAAATGATGACCTACAGTCCACTGGCCTTGATCTTCTCTAGCTCCCAAAACACACATAGTTAATCCTCTTCCAGACAGCCAATAAAAAGAAAATAGCAACAAAAAAACAGAGCTCATAAATTTCTATTATACTCAAAGCCTGATTTCACTTAGTTAATGGATTCATTTACTAGAGCAATTTGTATAAGTCCCCCAGAGCCTGCTAAGGTTGCTGCCTTTGGTTTTAGCATGTCACATATGTCCTTTATTCCCATTCTTTAACAAATAGCAGATTGGAAAAGAACTTTGGAGCAACCATTACTTAAAATATAGATAAACTGTGAACAAAGTTAAAAATAAAAGCTTTTCATGCCTCTGGGATTCCAGCTGATCCAGAAGTCCACCTGCTGGGACCTATCAGCTCCACGCTGGCCCCAGGAGTTGGCAAGTGCCTTTCAACCTCGCAGGTATGAAGCTGTAGCAAAGGGCTATAGGAGCCATCAGCAGCGCACTGCCACCCATGGCTGTCTCTTTTATAGCGGAGAGCATGGCAGAGAACAGATCTGTCATTGCTTTAAATGACCACAGGTCACATTGTGGCTGGGGGGCAGAGGGCAGATCTTGAGAACCTACTGGGCTCTGGCCCAGGTTATTTAGCTACCAAGGCTCTATGGTGATGAAGTTCAGGCTGCACGGCTTACACACATGTGGGTGAATTAGTCTAATCTTTGGCCAGAGCGGGTACTTCTAGCCCCAGCTAGCCTTTAGTGCATCTGCTCCTCTTCATCCCAAAGGGATGCAAGCAAGAATGCAAATGGCAGGAGTGAAACATAAGCTTCACACTAAGTAAGAGCTTAATGGAAACGCCTCACTGGGTCAGAATCTAGGCAGCAGGCCAGCCTTACCATGCAGCCACCGCACAAACAACAATTACAAAACCCCACAAAAAACTGGAAGAGACCCTAAACTGCAAGGAACAAAATCCTATCCACCTGAGACTGACAATATAAAGGACTATTTGTTCATAGCTGGAAACCACTAGAATATAATTATTGTCTCCTGCATACCAAACTAAACATACAACTTTGAAAGTGCTTGGAAAAAATAAATGAAAACTGTATCTCTCAGTGGTATTTTAAGGAAAGGGCAACCTGGTCATGTGTGTGCTGATGGGGAGGTGATGGGAAGACAAAAGGGTCCAGCAGGCTGGGGGTAGCTCAGTCATAGAGCACACAAGTAGCACGCATGAGGCTCTTGTTCAATCTGCAGCACCAAGGGAAAAGAAAAGAAGGAAGGGATTCAGGCAGGAGAGGAGTAAGGAACTGGAAGGAGAGTGAGACTGAGAATGTGGGTTGAGACACAGAGGGAGGGTGACAGAGACCCACGTAGAGAGACTCAGAGGCTTGGGATGGAAGAGGAAGGCTTGGAAAGCACAGTGAGCCTTTGGGAGGAAAGTATTATATGCTGTGCAACAGAATCCCTCTGTCCTCCCTGTGCAGCTGATAAAAAGTTTTGCCTGTTACTGTATTATGCAAAAAGAACTGGACTGAGTTTTACCACATGTGGAGGTGCCATTTGGGATGGTCTGATTTTAACTATAGTTTGGCTGATACATGTAAATTTTTCTTTGGGGCCTTGGGAGAGGCTTCAAACAGTGGCTGAAACAAGTCGATGACTGGCCTGTGTGCTACAGGTTGGGAGACCTGTGCTAGAAATATTAAAATGCCAGGAGCCGAGAAAATTAATGAGTACTTTCAACACAAGCCCTAATTCCAGTGTCACAAGGACAAATGACTCATGTTGGTGCCTTGATTTATTTTTCTTTTTTTTTTTAAGTGCTTTGATTTATGATCAAGCTTGTTTTCTGTGCAAGCAGCTCCAGGAGGTTGCTGCAGAGCTGGGTAGCTGGTTGGTGACCCCAGGGGTTTACAGTGCCGGTGGAAGAAGTGTTTGGAGTTCTGATCCATGATTGGCAGGGGGGAAAAAAAAGAAAGAGGCCGATGCTGGTAGAGATAGCCAACATTAGAGTGCAGGCAAAAAATGAATTGGACAAGTTTATGGGGGCAGATGTTCACCCCAGGCAATGGGTAAAACCCCACTTCTGGTAACAGTACTTACATGTCAGTGAGCCCACTTTGCCTTTTCCCAGAGATTAAGAGCAAACCAGCCTTTTGTGTTCACAGACCCATGCTGAGACTTAGTTCTGCCACTTCTAGGTGTTGACTTTGGGCAGGCCACTTAATACCACTAAGCTTTGATTTTATTTTGTGAAAGACAAGAATATTTGGGTCTACATCAAAGTGTCCTGGGGAGGCTGATAGGCAGGAATTTGTGGCCAAATGTATATTGATGACGATCACTGTTCTAAGAGCAGATCTTAGCACCTATTCACTTCCAAGTGAAGCCTCCACAGCAGCTTCCTCCTCTCTTTGGCTTCTTTATTTTAAAATCTTTGTAGCACCAGCCCCTCTTTTTTCTAAATGATGGGACAAATATACACTAGAAAATTCTTACCTTCATTGGCTTTGTATTTTAATCTTTTGTAGCAATAATTGATGCATTTTTACACTAGTAACATAAATGTATATACATGGTAAGTGTATACAACTTTAGAGGATTATAAAATATAACATGGTGGTTTCTGTCTTTCATCTCATACTAGAAACTAAATAGGCAGGGCTGGGAATATAGCTCAGTGACACAGCACCTGCTTGGCAAGCATCAAGTCCTGAGTATGGTCCTAGGTACCAAAGAAGAGAAAATAATTAGGATGGAGATGACCTGTAAGGGGACAGGCCAGCTCTCTGTGATATGAGGACCTGTGGAAAGCTGCAAAGCAAGCAGCAGCCAGCTCTCTGCTCCATAATGATCCACCTCATAAAATGTCCTTTGGGACTTTAAGAATTTTCATTAATCCCCCTCTCTGGTTCCAGCAAACCTAGACTGCTTCCTTTAGCTCTCTACTCTTCCCCGCCCCTGCTGCGTCCTTTGCTCCAGGTCCTCCAAGGTCTGGGCCATCTGCGCTCTCTGCTACACCTAAGCCTAGCAGGACCTAGTCAAACACTGTGCGAGTAGAGGGCAGGGCCTCAGGCCTGGCCTCCTGGCATCTGTGGTTGACCCCAGATGTTATTTTAGTGCAACTTCAGGGTTTAATTTGAGGACTTGTGTGGACCAGAGGGAGGAACCAAAACATGATTTTTTTTTTTTTTTTTTTTTTTTGTACTATGGCCAAATGATTAAATTTGAAGTTTTCAAAAATGCACAGCTTGATCCAAAGTGGTGTCCACTTGGGAAGACAAAATTGCTCTGAAGAGCCCTCCCCTGCCAGGGGCCCTCCTTCCCTCACCACCGGTCACCTCCCAGCCCGGCCCTGGGCATCACCTGGGCGGCCCACTGGTGCACGCACACCAGGAGCTCTGGCACTGACGGAGTCCTTCCCTCCTTGAAAGTGTCTGCTGAATCTTTGCTGGCAGAACATTCTACAGGTTTGTTTAATTTTTTACAGTACTGAGAATACCACAATAAGCCGCTGCTGAGCCATGGCTGAAGGAGAAATCACAACCTTCACAGCCCTGACTGAGAAGTTTAATCTGCCTCCAGGGAATTACAAGAAGCCGAAACTGCTCTACTGCAGCAATGGGGGCCACTTCCTGAGGATCCTTCCAGACGGCACTGTGGACGGCACAAGGGACAGGAGCGACCAGCACAGTAAGCAGCCATCTACTCTGTACCCCTTCACCTTTCTGTGTCTCCCCTAGTCAAGGAAGGATGAGGGTGTGTAACTTGTACCAATGCCTGCTTCTCCAAGGTTCCATTAGGTATGGTGCGTTCACTCAGAGCTGGGGGAAACAGATATAAGCAATCAACCTGGGTTTGGAAAGCCTGGAGTTGTGAGCTGGCACTTAGCTAATGGTGTCCTATTTCAAGGTTTTAAAAGGACTCTGACTGAGTTCAATTCCCAGTTCTGCCAAAAAAAAAAAAAAAATTAAAAAGGACTCTGAGCAGCCCAACAGGACTGACTGCCAGCACATTCGATGGCTCACTGTCTTTCTGAGTTTCTGGAATTAGAGAAAGATGCGGCCCTGAAGGCCAGCCAGGGGGCTGCTCACTGGTGATGGGAAGAGCCAGATGGGCAGGCACGGTAAATCCTACACAAAGATGTGGACTTGATTTCAAGTTAATAGACTCTCCAGGTGATGTTTCCGCTGGGCTTGATCTGTGAAATCCTAGTCCATGACCGCAGCCTCACACATCATAAATTATGCAGCTTTCCTGCAGCACGTCATGCACATGGGGCTGCGGTAAGCAGGAGGGGCAAAGTCATTCTCCAGATCCTGCCGCACCAGAGAGCGGAAGCTGGCGAGGTTGCCAGCGGCTGACTGTTCCTTCCTGGCTCTCCTGGTAGCTGGCTCTCAGGGATGGTGACAAATGGGGGTATGCCCTCGCAGAAAAGAACTTTCTTGGCTGAGTAAACCACCTCTTCCTCCTGCCTCGCCACTTCTGCTGCAGGGGCCATGCTGGACATCCACTGCCTGGTCCAGTGCACTGTCCCGTCCTCCCTGACTGCCACGAGACATTAGCTGCTGTAGCCACCTGCTCCCTGCTGAGAGGGGCGGCAGGCTCAGGAGTGAAATAAGCAGGGCACAGACAGGAAGGAGGTCTTGTGGGAGTGGCTTTCCAATAGAATACAAAATGCTGGCTTTGAGGTAACGGCTTATGTGTCAGGCAGTCTTGATTATCCCCGAGCCGTGTACCAAAGGTTACACACTCTAGGTCCAATGACTGCCTCCGTGGGACACACCCTCTCTCTTGGATGCCCAGAGAACCAGAATGGATGGTGGCATTTTCAGAACAGGTGGCATCATCCCTTCCTTCCTATCCACCATTCAGCCCTTGAGAGGAGCAGAAAGGCTGAGGCCCCGCACGATGAGGGTCTGGGGGCATTGTATGAATGGCTTGTCTTTAAATGGGCCTCCTGTCAACTTGAAACTCAGTGAAAAGCAAGGAACTGAATAGGTAGGTAGATAGATAGACAGACAGACAGATGACTCTAGTGCATTAAACGTAAGCAATGTTTACAGTGAATGAATGGACTTAGACTGTAGCCTACTGTGTCAGACATGATACACAATTTATATGATCTGCAATTTACACAACATAGGGAGTAAGCCTTAATTTCTCTGAGATACAAATATCTCCAATAAGTTTACCAGTTCTCCCAAATCAGTGTGGAATGCTCTGGTCTCCAGAAGCTGGCAGGAAAGGCAGCCACAATGCCATATTCCTTGGGGTTAAGCTGGTCTTTCTGGGAAACCTTGAATTCCAGGGTAAGAGCAGGCTACAAGTGCTGGGACTGGTGTGTGAATGTCAGATGCTCCCATTAGTGCCACCCCTTCATAGACATCATAGACTGCATTGTGGGTACCTAACCCTGAGACAACCTCTGCGGCTGCTGTGGGTGGGATGCCAAGAACTAACTTCTGGAGCGTGGTACAGTGAGCCACAGGAGTGTGCGCAGGGTGATGGCGTCCGCGGGATGCTGGATTCCTGGCCACGTGAACATAGGCAAGTTAATCTTTCTCACCTTACTTTCCCCACTGGTAAAATAAGAATTACATTATTACTTGGTAGAGTTAAATGGGCTACCACAGTGCACACTCTTGGCACAGTTCCTAGAGCAGAGTCACAGCTCAGCGCTCACTGGTTGATACTGCTGTCGGCATCCTGAAGGTCTCCGTGTGTTCCGTGCAACAACTGGAAATGAGTAGGTACTAAGCAACTCCCCCAGTCTCCTCGCTCTACAATAGCACCGGCAGGGAGGCCAAGGGTCCTGATTCAGGCTTTGATGCAGGGCCTCTCTGGCAGCATTCAGAGTTGGCAGGTTGGCCTTTTATTTGCTTGCTCTGGAACGAAGGACAGCAGTGAGGGCACAGAAGTCAGAGTTCAGGGGGTAGGCAGGCCGAAATTCATCCCTGAGTCCACCCAGGGCCGGAGCTGGATAATCCACAAGGCTTCTGCAGTCAGGGACCTAGTTTGAAGCCAGAAAGCTTGAGCTCTTATTCTTGCCCTGCCACTGTCTTAACTGACCGTGAATTGTTCTCTCCACGCCACATCATCAAGTAGTATGCAAAAGAGGCTTCAGTTACTGAGCCCTAGGGCTCTTGCAATCTCCAGAATCTCCAAACTGCCTAAAGCTGGGGTGAACTTAATCTCACTGAGACTCAGTTTCCTCTCCTGTGGAATGGAAATGGTAGCCTTGCTCTGCGCAGCTCACGTGTCTGAAAACTATTAGGTGAGAGGAAAATTGCAGGCAAAAGGAACCCCCAGCCTCCTGGCAACCCAGACAGAAAACACTCCCTGAACGTGAGTCTGTCGCCCTCTTCTGGCAAGTGGTGGTATTTCACCGGCACTTCGCAATCTCAAGGTTCTGGAAGCCAACATCAGGAACGGAGTGGATGGATGCTTCCGGATCACCATGATCTGCATAGCTCAGCAAGGGAATGCCTTTTATTCCTTAACCATTGTTATGAACATGAATAGAGTTGTGGGGACAGGCAGAGAGGCACATTTCAAGACTTCCTACAGGAAGAGCATTCCTAAAAGTCATCAGATATTCATACAAAGCTTTCTAAATGCTCACAAGACAGAACTGTATACCTTGGAACTGTACAAGACCAAAATAATCCACAGGCTCTCTGTCCTCAACTAATTGATCTGCTCTGGGAGAAATGAGGAAGTTTTCAGAATATGTCTTCTTCCTACCCCAGGGCAAGTAAGTGTCCCAGTGCCTTAGTGTGCTACCAACCTCCTCTGAATGCAGGCCTGCTACCACCCTAACACAGCCCGAGGACAGGGCTTCCACCGGCAGGACTTTCTGCCTGTGGAGAACATGGCTGGAGCTTGTCTCTTCTGTAGGCACCCACCAGCATGGCGTCATCTCCACACCAGAGCAGAGGAATCAGATGGCGAGGGCTGCTGACTGTGGGCCCACAGTGTGCGGTGTGTGAGAAGCTTCCCATTTTAGCTCTGAGAGACAGGGAGAGGTATCATCATGAGAGGGAGGCTTGTGGAGCAGGCACAGGTGCCGGGCCATGGCCAGTTCCTCTGTGGACACAATGTCTGAGGGGTGGCTCGAGCTCTCCTGGCAGGAATACTCCTACCAGTGCTTGTGTGAAGAGTTACTGGTTCTGTCTCCCTCTGAACTCCGTGAGGACAGGAACTCTGTCTCTCAAAACTCAACACTGTAATCTGTACCCCCGGGACACTGCCTGGTGCTTGAAACAATGCCCGGTAAGCACTAACGTGACAAGTGACTGAACTATATGAGGTAAATTCAATGATACACTCGGTATCTGTTAAGCACTGACCTATGCCAGGCATTGTGCCACCCCCTCTTCATTTCCCCATGAGGTGGTGGATCTCTATAACTTCAGCAACTACAGCTGACAGGGAGTGACCAGCTTCTCATAGGCACAACCACTGCCAATTCTCAGGCTTTTTCTGTACCCCGCCACCACCTTTGATACCAGCACCATGACGGAAATGTCACCTCACAAACCAAATCAACACGTGGAGCCTCACAGCCTGTCCTTGGTTCAGACAGGTATAGACAAGGTCCCGTGACTGACATCTACTAGTTGTCACATCACTATGGCAGTCACTTCTCCTCTACATGCCTCAGTTTCCTCATTTTGAAAACAAAAATGGCAACAGTGGAAATCTGAAATGTGATGTCCCTGCAAGTACTGGGCACATTTCTGGACCCCAGAGTGCTTCAAAACTGACGTTTATCATCACCATTATCATCATCGTGGTTCCTGCTGAGCCCTCCTCACCCAACAATGGAAGCTCTGAGTCTGTTAATCCCAAGCAAAGGCTATTCTTGCTGACAGAATTGAGGCTGGTTTTTTACCCCAGCATCTCCGGAACGTCTCCTTCAGAGGTCTTGAGGCCAGCACAGCAGCATAACAGCCCAGACCCTGGCGTGGCAGAGAGGGCGCCGTACTTGACACTGCTTTCTCGCTGCCGTTTTTTTCTGGAGAAAGCCAGCCAAGCCTGCTTCTTGGCAGGACTGAAGACTGAGACAGAAGCAGGAGGACGTGACAAGCCCCCCAGGCCTGCAGCCTCCGCCTCCTCCCAAGGCCCGTCAGAGGCTGTGCGGAGAGCAGGATTACCAGTACCACTAAGCACACAGATGGAAAGGTTCCCCAGCAAAGTGCACGCCAATCAAATATTTATAAGGCCTGCCACATCCTAAGGGCACTGGGGGTGGGGCGCCGGAGACAAGCAGCCTGCTAGCAGCCTACCTCCCAGCAGGCCGCCCTTAATGAAATCCCTCCCTGCCCGTTGTTTCAGGGTGTCCAGACCTCCCTCTGGTTTGATATGAGTCAGCACTCTGTTCCTGCAGCTTGGGTCTGGATCAAGGCAGCTTTGGCTTTCCAGAGCTGCACTCTGCTGGCCCTCTGCTCACAGAAGCCACCTGGGGCTGGTCCCCGCAGGAAGGTCGTGGGCTGGTGTGCCACCTTGGTCACGCAATGTGGAGCCCTCCTGCTCCCTCAGCCTGCAGTCCTTATCTGATTGCCCAGGCAGGTTTCTGGACTGGACTAAAGAAAGAATGTTCAGGCACTCTTTCCACTCTTTAAAAGAACAAACACCTTCACAGGTTATAAGAAAGATATAGGAATATACACACACATACACACACACAC